AGTAGCCCATAAAAATTATGTTCATTGCCGAACGTGACGCGCTGCAACAGAAACAAATTTTTACGAAATCAATTAAACTATTGCTCGAATAATAATCCATTTGAAGCACACATTGAATCGCGGCTTTTATCATACGCGACAAGATTTCACAAATCTTTAACGATCGCACGTGAAAACGTGAAATTTTCAACTCTATCCTTTTATACGCGTGCATCATTCGGAAAGGAATCACGTCAAGCGATGGTTACCGCGGATCATTTCCTCGAAACTGGGTTATATAAATACGCGATCAAAAGTATAAACACAAACATCACTCATCGACACGATCGGTAGCCGCTCGACTTAAATGATCCTCAAAACTGCCTCCCAACGATTCACAGTTATAATTGCTCGATGATCTCGCAATGATGAATCCGCGATTAAGAGCGAATAAATGAGGATTACTGTAATTCACGCTGGCTCCAACGCGATTTATAAATCATCGTGTACGTACAGTACCGCAGAAACAAATATAATCCGTTGCTGCTGCTGCTGCTGTTATGCTCGCGCAAGCAAATCTAATGGTCGGGGCTCGTAGCGCCGCCGCCGCCGCCATGCCGACACCAATTAATTCGATCACATCATCCGCGCGACTAGTTCCCGCGCGCGCGCCTCGAGATTCGTATCTCGCGGGGATATCTGTCTCTCTCTCTCTCTCGAAAACCCGACAGAACGAGAAAGAGGAACGTATATGCATAACGAAGGATCGCAGTCGCGTCTCGGAGGTATTTTTACGATCCTCGCGGGCGGCGGGTGCGGTTCGTCTAAATATTCACACACAAACACACATGAAGGGGTACAGTCGAGTATACATCGTTTGAAAAAAGATGCGTCCTTTCCTCGGAATTGTAAAAGGTGACAAATTTTTCGTTCGCCTAATTGAAGACAACGATATATTTTATTAATAAAAAAATTTGATCGTTTCATTGCGTCGTCGTGTTGGAGCCCTCGATTGCATCATGCGCGCACACAGGTCGATTTACAATGTACCCGCGGCACCTTTTTTCCCGCGCCCGGCAATGTTACGTTCTCGAAAAAATCGTAAAGATGTTACAAGAGCTTTATAATAAAAGTGAGGCCGGGAGGTCCCGACGATTCGCGCACGCACACACGCATACATCTCAAATTCTCTCTCTCTCTTTCTACGGGCATTAAAGCCAATTAAGACCTCTTCAATTAAGGTATCTTATCTTGGCTTCGCGAATGCAGCAGCAGCAGCGGCAGCGGCGTCTTATCGTTGCCCAGAGCTCTCTTTATAAGCTAGCCCTCTCGGCAGGTAGCTCTCTCAAAGTGGTCGTTACTCTATTGCAGGCAAAAAAGCAGTGGGCCAGAATCGGCATCTATCAGCGGTTTTTCTTTTTCTTATGGCGCCTCGTTTGTTCTTAGTTCTGCGGCACGAGAGAAAGAGAGAGAGAGCGAAAAAAGATGTCCACACGTAGAATAAATAATGTCACACATATTGGCGTCGCGAGCAAAATTCTTTATGGCGCAGCTGCATGTGTCGCGCTCAGCCTACAAATATATTACTACACTGCTCGATTATCTAAGCTGTAAAAGTACGCGCATTACTGGATCATACGGCTGATAATGGCGCACTTTTGAGCGAAAGAGGCTTAATAATATTCCTCGGTACTTACTCCGCGTTCGAGTGCAAAGCGAGAGAGACACAGAGAGCCGTGAAATTTCGAGATAAAGGGTTACAAAGCGCGCTCGCGAGGGCCACGGCAATAACACGGTGTTTTTTTTTAGTTCATTTATCTGGGAAATCGCTCGACGAACACTCCGCTGCTGCGCGATCGCATAGGTATGCGCGCGCGTAAATATTATACATATAGCATAACCTTTTTAGAGCCTCGGCGCCGGCGAAGGTAATATATGCGCGCCGACTTTTCAACGAGTCCGCGCGACACCGACGCTCCATATATATACGTATGTATATAATGCGCGTTATGAGTGGTACGACCTCCAATTTCGCACGGTCTTTCACCATGTGTAAATACTCGACGTATGTGTAAATATGTGTCTGTGTGTGTGAGTACACTCCATTCGCACGTAGCACGTACTTTTTTTCAGAGCCCAGCGAGCGCATAGTACTACACTACGTACACGGAGCTTTGAATATGCATCGCACGCCAAAATCTCAATATACACTCGTCGAGAGAGAGAGCGAGAAAAAAGTACCCTGCCGTTTTTATTCCTTTCGTCCACTCACGTGACGGGAGCGTATGTACTCGAAGCAAGAAGAAGAAGAGAAAAAACTTTATAATACTTCCGGTATGTATTAAGCTCGTATATGGGGCGCGCTTGTGTACGAATTGCAGCAGCAGCAGCAGTGGTCGGTCGTCGTGGCGCAGTCAAGATAAGAAAAAAAAGAAAGAGAAAAGAAGTCAGGCGTGATGCAATTTAAAAAGGATCTTTGAGATATCAGTCGCAGATAAGCTCTAGTAGCCGGAGTACGTATTGTGCCGTAGCTTATAGCGCGGTGGGCACATATTTAGGATCGGCATCAATGGGGAGGAAGTCTCCTCTTTTCTCACGCGCGCGCGTGATCACGTCACGATCGTCGTCGTCGCATCGTGGCAGCAGCTATATAGCTCGCATGTGCAACTCAGAAAATCAACGGCTCGCTTATGGCTCCCTTTCTTTTTTTTCATTCTATTTATTTATCTATCGATGCGCGGCAGAATAGCTCTTCTTCTTTTTCTCTCGAGCCTTTTTTACCGCACGAAAGATTGCGGTGTATCGATATTGGTGCGTATATAGACGAAAATATTCGATTGTGCACTATTGGCGCGAGCGACGAGTACCTTTTCGTATATCAATTTTCGTTTACACTGCGGCACACTCGACGACGATCGAATTCCATTTCTGTGCTCGGTTTTTGTGGTGTGTGGCTTGCATATAGGCACGTTATGTATTTACACTTTCGGAGAGACGATCAATGAGTTTCGACAGGTCCTGTATGGGTGGTGGCGAAATATCTATGAGTAAAGCCCCTGCGAACGAGTGCGTACGTTTTTCGGCCCAGGGAAAAAAGGGGAGCACGCGCGAGTGTGCGCTTCATCCAAGATTTCGGCGCACACACAGGCTAAACGTTCTATAATCCTCTCCTTTGTGCGCGACGAGTAATGGAAATCCCTGCTCGCCATTGAATTTCACATTAATCTCTTCATTCGCGCATTAATGTATATATTTGCTTTGTAAAAGCTGATTTATGTGCCCATTATCGACACCGCACACGAAAAAATACTTTCGACGCCTCGAGTAATACAAAAGGACGCGGATCGTATTTTTCGATAAATTATTAATTATCGGCGATTGCTACCGTTTAAGTATTTTTAGCCCGCGGATTGGCACAATTTAAAATTCTTAGACCTCCTTTGTGATTTTAATGATCTCTTTCGTTACTTGGCGTAATTCGAAACGATCGATTCTAAATTACACATAATCTCGAGTCTCATTACGATGCGATAAAAAAATTGAGAGATCGCCCATTGCGCCAAGTCGATGGAATTACGATTTTTTCATTCATTATCGTCAACCCGACAAAAGAATTGCTACAAATTATCTGTGGGTGCGTGCTGTTACTCGATAATGAGAGTGCAAATATACACACTCGAATTTGCCAAATGTCACACGACCTGTATCCCGTTGCAGCCACCATGTTTTTTAATGTTTAGCTTATTTCACTCCTCAACTCGTGTCGAGTTGGAAACAAATGAGCAATCCTCGTATTAAAGCGTATACATCTCGCGTTGAGTGAAATATTTATACGTTTTTTTTTTCGCGTCGATGACTTGCCGTGATATCGGCTGCGCAACGATGAGTCCGCTGAATTTCGGCTCTCGATATACTTACAGCGCAGGACACCCAATGCCAAACATGCACATTTTTCGTGATACGTCTCTCTCTCTCTCTCTCTCTCCATCTGTCTGCGCCTTTTTTCGCGATCTGCGAGAGTCTGCCTTCGGTCTGTCGGCCGCGGGCGTATTACGTTTGCATTATTATCAGTCTGGCGCCGACTCGTGATTTTCTCATACACACCACCCCTGTGCGCGACTTTATATGGATCAGGGGGAGGACTCGAGCTCTGGACTGTACGCGATCGAGCCATGACTTACTTTTTTTTAGGGCTGGTTCGCGCTAATTTTTCCTAATTTAGATAATCGTGAAACGTACAGTATGAAAATGCCGTGTAGGGTGACTCACGCACACAAAAAAGTAGCACGATGGTTATTTACTGCATCGCCGCCGCCGTATAGTCGTCGTCGAGTGGTGGTGACCTTTTTGCACCGTAGCGCGCAGATTAAGAAACCCACGGAGACGTTGATGTGTCGCGCCCCCATGGCGTCTTTTATAAGGATTCTCTGTACTGCATCGTTCGACTACACACGCACGAGCATACCATATAATGCGCACGAAAACTCAAGGTGTATATCTAAAAACTTACCTGCTAAACATTCCTCGTTTGTTGTGTTTATACTTGCGTCGCGATCACGAGAATGTAGGGAACGAGAAAAATTGGAATATCGAGTATATATATTTGCTTTTTGGATTTTTTCCTTGAACGCGCGTGCGTTGCGCTGCTGCAGATGATGTGAAAATTTTCTTGCTCGTCTTTTTTCGCCATTAACAGAAGCTCGAGAAGTCGTATCTTCAGATAAAGCTAAATAATAATAATAAACGTAGTAGAGTCGGGACAATTTCATTTGAATGGAAAAAGTATTAAAATGAATAATAATAAAAATTCGAATGATAAAAATTCTTCGGAAATCAGTGGAACCAATTACGAATGATAAATGTCTCGAAATTTGCAGTTTTAGAAAATAAATTCATGCAAAATGTCTCAACGGATCGCAGGTGTCAAATTAACGTGAACTCTGAGTCTCTGTTTTTTTTTTATTTGTAATTTTATTAAAATTTATTTCATTGATTCTATTATAGAGATTTTGAATTTTTCGTGTCAATTTTAAAAACTAAAGTAAAACACGTGTTGAAAAAAAGAACATTGATTACCATGATTATAAACCATCTTCCCTCTTCTCCTTCTTCTTCTTCATCATCTTTCTGCGCGACAAATACTATTTTCTCGTGAAAAAAAGATAGATTTCGAGAAGACAAAAAAAAATTGTACATAAACAAGAAAGAGAGAGATGCAGTTTCAACCGGGAATACAATTTTGAATTCGCAAGTCAAGAGCACACATATAAGACGCTTATAATGAAGACGCACATCATACATTATTTGCATTAATACACACTTAATAATACACATTTAAAAGACATACGCACACACACTTATTTAGTTTCTTTTTTTATTTCGCATATATGCATGGAGACTTTTATTATAATAACATTCGTCAAATGAAACTAACGTCGTCGTCGTCGTCGCATGGTTATCTCTTTCGTCGATCGTCGCTCAATAATACGACTCTCGTGTCGTGTAACATACACACACAAACATTTTTATATAAATTACCTTCCTCGGATAATCGCGCGCGTTTGTTTGAACGAAAAAACAAAACGAAAAACATAAGCTGCACATTACGCAGGCACTGCATATGCTCTCGGGCGAATTTTTCGATTAGGCGGCGTTTAGCGGCGTGTCTGTGTGAGCGAGTGAGTGTGTGCGGGTGTGTGAGCTTTTTCTCGTGATTGAAAATTTATCAATGCAGTTTAACAATCCACGAGCTGAGACATAATTCATGTCAATTCTTCTAATCACAAGCAGAAATTTCAGGATAATTAAATTTTTGTAAAACAAAAAAATCATCTACATTTATTGAGTTGTTGTATATGCGTATGTGACTTCTGTGTGTGTATGTGTGTACACGTGTGTGCATGTCCGCGCGTAATCCTAAATGCGTTCCTTCGCTGACATGTTTTTTTTTTAATAATACTATTATACCATAAAATAATCGTACTCGAGTCGACTTGTTGTTGGTGTTGCATTATTATTTTTTTCACTAGGTTTTTTATTTATTATTTTTCATTTCTTTTTTCATCTACATTACACGTTCGTTCTCGCAATCAACGCGTAGATTTTTCGGAGAAGAACGAGACAGAGACAGAGAGAATGACGAGTACACACACACATGCGCATTGCAATATAATAATATATTACGGTAGATTATTTTTGCTCTCATTTGTTTTTTTTTAAATATATATGCCACGACGTGTATACGATGAAGTCTTTTTTTATTACTTTATATAATTAGTCTTTCTACTGCATATGGTAATAGTCGCTTTATATTTACAATACTTAAATAATTCATTTGTTTACATGTAATAATAATCGTGAGAAGGGGGGGGGGGGTGATTACAATGTAAGGCTCTCTTCTTATTATCATCTCGTATTTACAATCATAGAATATTATAAACAGAATATTTTTTATATAATGGTTCGTCTACATGCCTAATAATATATAATGTTAGAGTATTTTTAAGATACATTTAAATACATTTTGCATATTTATGTTTAATGACGACTTTCATGGCTGTCACTCAATCATATGTACTCGTGTAATGTATTACGTGTGTAATGTGTATTATGCGTATCTGTGTGCATATACATTTGTTTATGCGCGCTTGTAATCGTGTAAGTGTGTCTGTTATCGATTTTTTTTTCTTTATTTTTTATTCTAAGCGAATGAATCTTCCAATTTTTGCGCTCTAGACTGACCGGGATCGAGAGCGGTCGAAGTACAATAATAGTTACATGCACTTGTGATTACATAATTTTCATTTTTCTTTATTCATCCCCTTCTCTGTTGTGTGTGTATGTATGTGTTTTCATCAATGCGATGTTCTATCGTTCCAAACGTCACTGAGACACTAAATGCGGTCGTTTGTTACAGTTTGCTTCACTTTCTTATTATTTTTTTTCCGATTATAATATACATTAATATAGTCAATACAGCATTTTTTTGTGTTTAATTATGTCACTTAGTCCCGTTTCTGCAACAATCAACGGTGCGTTTTTTTTAAAGTTATTATTCTTTTATACTGTTTATATGGCGCTCGCGCACACAATGATGTGGACACACCGAGAGACACATCGTAAATATATAATATAATATATATTTATAAATGTATATAATTATATAATATATTCGGAGGCCAATTTGCGAATTATACATAGAGTAACAATAAATATAAATATGGTATTATTAGTGCGCGCGCGTTTGGAACTTAAAAATGTATCTACTTTATATGTTAATAACTGTTTAAAAAATGCACAACAGAACAAGTCCATGGGTGAGAGATTTGTGTGTACATGTGTGTAATACAATTGCATTTCGCTCGGGCGTGTACGTGTAATTGTGTGTTTATAAAATGTCATTTTTTTTTTCTCCAACAAAAACGAAAAAAAAAGTAGTAATGGAATGACGTCATGGAAGTGCGCGCGGATCTGCGAGTATCAGCTAAGAATTCCAAGATAACGGGGCACGATAGTACGCGTCCGTTCATCCAATTTTTTTTTCATACATATTTATTTATTATATATACTGGCCCTTTGTTTCATAATTTTTTTTATTTAAATTTTCTTGCTTCTAATGCGTAATAACTTTTACTTTTAGTCTTTGAAAAGTCAACGCTGCGATACAATCGATGCACGAGTCGTGATCTCCTCGCGTCAGAGATAAAAATTATGTGATTGAATTAATTTTTATGGGTGTGTCTACAATTTTAATATTAAATTCAAATTTTCATCGCGAAAAAATCACTGGCCGACGACCGCCATCGTTGTTCACCGCAGCGATGCTTTTTTATATTTATTTTGTATTCTTTTAACGTCAACTTTGTGTTTGCAATGATTATTCGTTTACATGTATTTTTTTGTTTTGCTTCAGTTAATCGTATCAAGAGGTTCCATTTTGGGAATATAAAATTTGAATCGTATACATAATTGTGGTGCAAAGTCTCGTTAACACAGAACCTTAATTGTATCGCTATAAACCGACGCGTTCTAAAAATGTTTTTCATTTAAAAGTCAGAAATCGTTGCTAAAATTGATTTGCTCTCCATCGTGGGAATGATTATTAACACTTGAATTCAAATACAAGCAAGAAAAATCGGGCGTAATAACATTGCGTATGGGAGGGTATCTATTGTTTTGTATGTGTGATTCATTCGTTGTTCCAAAGTATTCCATTCGCCAAATATATTTTATTGCAATAATTCCTGAGAACATTTAATACTTGTAAAAAATGATATTAATGAAAAGAGACTAGATCTCGTCGTTTTTTTAATAGTAAATAGAAGCATGGAATTATATTCATTATACATTTTTTACAAAAAATTATCGCTCAAATACTTTTGCTCGATATATAGTCATTACGATCTGCTCTTAGATTTATATATATAATATTTATATGTATATCATATAAATATATTTATATATGTATAATAGTTTGAATAGAAGAAACAAAAACTGAAGGTGCACACGCAGCGGGGATTTGAACGTAATATTTTCCTCTTTATATTGTAACAAAAATAAACAAAATTAATGATTCTGCAATTGGATTCTTTTGTATAAATACAAGTTAATTTCTTTTATATATCTTACAATTATCTAACGAGGCCGAGTATGAGACCGGATCAGCTCGAATTGGCCCTTCAGCTTTAGGAATTTCATTTTCCTTTTTTGCTTCTTGTTCTTTTTTATTTTATTTTTTGCTTCATTTAAGTAATGAGACTTTGTGACCCTCTCTCAATATGAATCAGCAGAAGGTACATAGGAGGTTCACACGTGTAAAGGGGCGATTATGCGCCATTGTACACGGGCGCGTGACCTCGTACGTGTCACCGCAGTGACATCGTTTCTTTTTGCCGGTGGTGCATTGTACAAAAAAAAAAACGAAAAAAAGTCACCTTCGTCTGATATTACTCCAGTGTTCGAGACGAGCGTCGAATTAATTTTTCTCTCGGGCGTGAATTATCAAGGCCCCGAAAAGATTCGAATCGTCCGCCGACCCCCTAAACTGCACGATGAAATATCAGCGAGGAAATTTTTCGTTTTTTTCTTTCTTTTAATCGAACCCATCAGATCGAATGGTCGAGCACGTTTTTAATTAATAAAAACTGCACACACTGTCCGTCAATTGTCAATAATATAATAATTTGTCATTATATCAAAACCGTTAAATTCATCGGCACGCTATCGTCGTGTATGAAGGTTTTTTTCACTCTTGCGGGGAGGAGAAAAATGTTCACATCTAAAATCTTTGCCCGCTTTCGTCAAAGGTCGATCATGAGTTATGTCAATTATAATAAAAAGAATTTATAAAAATTACAATTATAATATGTTTTTTATTATTTACATTAAGTTTTGTGTGTGTGTTTTTTTCTTATCTGTGTGTATTTACAATTGCTTAATTAATTTCATGAGAGATGCTGCTTCGGCTTTGTTTGTCTCATTCTTTTTTATTTATTTTTATTCATTTATTATTATTTCTGCCTTGTTGCGTCCACAGCAAGTACAACAACGAACGATCAGCGCTTCGTTTTCATTTATTCATTCATTTATTTAATTTTTTTTTATTCAAGATGCGATTCATAATGAGAGGGGCGTCGATGAGAGAGTAAGTGAGATTGAGAGGGCGAGAGAGAGGAGAACAACGACAACAGCAGCTGGTGATGCGTGGCGCAGCCGATGACGCTGATGCTGACCAGGACGACGCAGCCGACCACTACTACTACTGCCGCTGCTGCTGCTGCTGCTACTTTGTCTCCGCTCGAGGCAGTCTTGACTCAGCCGCCTGGGCCACTGCCGCCATCCAAGCAGCAGCTCGGCGGCCTCGGCCGCGTATCAACACGTACTTCAGTGCGTCGACGACGATGGCTGTTGTTGCTGCTGCTGCTGCTGCTGCTGCTGCTGATGGAGTCGGCCGTGATGCCGCCTCCTCGACGTGCCCGCCTGATCCCAGCTCTTGCCGTGTCGATGGCGATGAGGTCGACGCTGCTGCTGCTGACCACCGAGCGACGTCGTCAGCTGCTTCTGTTGCTGGCGTAGCTTACGATTATTATTATTATTACGATTAACGTTAATGTTGCCGGTGCTCCCACTCCCGCTCGACGACGCTGAGGAGGAGGAGGAGATCATCAAGGACGTCGACGACTGTTGCGACGGCGGCGACGACGACGAGGACGAGAACGACGACGATAGCGACGATAACGTCAAGGACTTTGAACCGAGGCTGCTGCTGCTTCCACTGCCGACGAGGGCGTTTTTACTGCTGCCACCAGCGCCACCGCCTCCGCCGTCGCCGCTGGGGCCTGTGTTGACGAGATTCAAGTTGATCTTGCCGAGGGCGTTGGACATGGTGCGCAGCGCGTTGCCCCGTGGCGGCGCACCCAGCAATGCCCCGCCGAACGGCCCGAGCTTCTCTGCCGCCCCTCTGTCTCTGCTGCTGTTGTCTCTGTCACTGGCGCTGGCGGGCCGCTGCGGCGGCTGGGGCGGATGCTTGAGGCCGCCGCCCTTGGCCGAGGTGATGAGGCTGTTGTGTCGCTCGACCCCGGCGTTGGGATTGAGCTTGAGGAAGTTGTAGCAGTCGGGCCGGCCGCGGGGCCAGGCGATCGCTCGCCCGGCGCGACTGAAGCCGATGTAGCGCGTGGGATCGACGACCGAGTGGTACCTCAGGTAGCGGCCGTTGTACGTCTCGTTGAACTGGCAATACTCGTTCCGCCGCTTCTCCGGCTAAAGACAAACGAAACAACGACGAGAAAAAGGGTTAGAGTCGATCGAACATGCTTGAATTTTTTCATACAATATAAATAAATTCGTGAAATTTTTGTCATACCCGAGAGCTCGATGTATTATACGAAGAAATGTTTTTTTTTTTTTTATTTTTAATATCTGCGCGCGGTTTATCGGCGATAGCGCGCAAACCTGTTCGCGCGCAGGCGTTTACATTTTATAATATATCCGCGGGAGCTCATTTATATGCTAATTATTTGATAATTAAGTCACCTAGAACGATAATGATAATGATGTGATATATACTCACCAAGGTTATTATTTTCCATCGCTTGTTGAAGCAAATGTACCGTTTGCTCTTCTCCGCGAAGATGTACAGCTTCCTACTAAAGTCCGTCGACTGCGTTGTCAATTTTTCTGCAAAAAAAACGAAGCAAAAGAAAACAAAATTAAGAAAATGAGAAACCATGTAATGAGGGTTCGATATATAGGACTGTCATTAAAAAGTATTGGCCTATGTATAGAGCAAATTATTATGTCGGCGCGAGTGCACACGAGCTCGCCGCGACAATGTTAAAATATCCACTTCCGTCGAAGCCTGTATATAAACACGCGGCAGGTTCTCGAGTTCTAATTGCAAAATCTTACACGTATTAAGACACCTCGGCTGGCTGCACAAACACGTCGTCGTCGTCGTCGTGCCTCTCAGATCAAAGTGAACGTCGAGGTAAAAAAAAAAAAAAAGAGAGAAACAAAAAATAAGCCGAAAACTACCACAATGGCGCCAAAAAAACGTATCTCTCTTTCTCTCTCTCTCGGTACATCATCATCAGCAGCAGCAACGGCAACAGCAGAAGCAGCAACAGCAGCAGCGCATCGGAGCATAGCCGCTAGAGCTGCGCTGCGAGGATTCGGGGAAACGAGCTTATAGCTAAAGGAATTAGGTGTATCTCTCTATTTTTTCTTCCTAGAATGGAGAATTCCCCCTACTCTACTGTTTTCTATGCCGGTGCTAATGAAGGGGACAAGCTGGTGTGTTCGGTGCTGGGCGCAGCGGCGCATCTTGGCCGCGCTGCTGCGACTTCCAAATAGTGTGTGGGTTATGTATTAGCGCGAGCGAGACTTTGCATGTATGTAAGTATGCATTGCGAAATATGATGTGTATATTACATTCGGTTTTTTCCGTAAACATATATTTCAACGTGCGGGTCTCTCGCGATTGCGCTATAACCCGCTGACTTTGATTCTCTCCGGAGAGACAAGTCTTTTAATGTGATCTTTCGATATCGTTGAGATTTAGCATAAGCGAACATAATTCAGCCATATACCCAATCGGACATTGGTCCGCGTAAATATATTTTTTTAATACATAATGATCGAGCTTTAAGAAAGTTTAACCCGTATATATCGAGACTGGGCCGCGACGGCGCTTGCAGCAACAACGTCGATGACGAGGAGGCGCGACATCGACGCAACGGCAACGACGACTCGTGTGAAAAAAAAAGAAGAAGAAGAAGAATATTTGAACAAGCTCGCGTCCGGGGCCTCATTAATCAACCAAGATTAGAAAGTATATTATAAAAAATAATTGAGTAAACGTATGTAAAGATAATTGCCACTTCAAACGTGTATACCGTTGCTCGCGCGGGACCTCGGCAAATTAGACCAGCGATTATCATTATGTACGATTTTGATTTTAATGTGGCTCGTCTTACACGATGTTAGATGTACTACACTGCTCTTGTTGGTACAATTTTCTAACGACATTATATTGTAGCCACTTGTACGCGGGGATCGAGAGGGGAGAGGCCTGATGTGTTCCCAAATTATGCCCGGATTGACGCCTTTGAGGCGTACAGGCTCGCGCGACTATACTACGACTTTATACGCAAGACGACGAGAAAAAGGGAATCGATTTATCATGCTCGTACGATTCACGAGCTAGATCGGGACGCGATACAGGGAATGTGCAGCCCAAAGATAATAAAGTCCGCATTTCTTTCTTTCCTTCTCTCGCTCTCGTTGTTTCTCTCTTTCTCTGTTCTGTTTCCTTCCCATCAAATTTAAGTGGCTCCCTACCTATAATACGCACACACACACACACAGACTTGCAAAAATCTTGAATACGTGCGAAAGAGTGAGGGAGCTCCGAAAGTGGCACACGCGCGCAGCTCGAGAGCGCGGAGACATCTAAGCGTTCGCGAAAAATAAACATTGCCGACGACGACGACGACCAAGACTAAGACACGACGACTACGATGCAAGACGACGACGACGACTACGACGTAGATGAGAGCAGAGAACTTAATTTCGTTTATATTAATACAGACGTTAGCGATGATTTATGGTAAAAGATGAAAAAACGGACCCGTGTAGAGTCCTCCCAAGCTTGTATAGCTCTTTCCTCTCACTCCTTCTCTTTCTCTCTCTCTCTCTCTTTTAAATAGTGTCCGTGTGTGAGAAATTCCTATACCACGCGGATCGCCTAATTTGCCATGTTGAGATTCTTTCATAAATATGGAAACGAGCGACGAAGAAGAAGATTCGTCCTCCCGTGGACTGCGCGACGAGCGCGACTTTTTATGCAAATATGTTTGATTTTCGGCTCGCATCTTGTTTATTTTTTTGCTGTTATTTTTTTGGGGGGCTTTTGCTTTACTCAACAACTCGGGACGCGATTAATCAGACGACGATACTTTCGATCTATCTCTCCCGTGCGTGCGCACTCGAAAGCGCAAATTATTGTTTTATTTATATATCATTGAACGAGGAATGTTGTAAAAATATTTTCGAAAGTAAAGGTTTTTTTCGTGAACTTTCTTTTTTTTTGCGTCGTTTGCGTGATTTCGCGCAGAGACAGAGAGAGAGAGAGATAAACCGATATTGCAATCGCTTGCACGAGAGGGATATCTTCCGAAAAATTAATTCGAGATTATTATGACGCGCGCAGCAAGAAATCGATAATTAAACAAATTACGAGGTGGATATGGACAGAACAAAAACTTGGATAATAAATTGAGAAACAAGTGCAGAAGAGTCGCTATATATACACGCGCTTATACTATATATATACGCAACTTTAAAGGATCTCTTTTGAGCGCGCGAGCGAGAGAGTTTCAGGCTTAATGGCGCGCGAGCCAGCCGAGAGAGAGAGAGAGAGAGAGAGCCTCTCTACCCCATCAATAACTAATTGAATTTATCGCGCTCTCGAGAGCTCGCGGTATATGCACTACTATCTGCTGCACTATATACGCGTGTGCAGGGCAAAAAGCGCTCAGAGGACGAGGAGGAGGAGGGAAAATTAATCGATTGACTCTCCGTGGCTTTTATCGGATGAGATCTGCTCTCTCTCTCGCAGAGAATATTTTCGGGACGCGGTAGTATGCGCATGCCTCGCGCGCGATCGGCACGAGATTGACATGGAAAAATTGAAATTTATTATAAACATGTCTAATACCGCGTGGCATGCTGCTGCTGCTGCTGCACGATCGTGGTAATGAGATGCTGCGCGCGCGCACGAGCCACGAGATTTTTTTCAAATATTTTTCCCTCGTCTATAAATTTATAATTAGAGATTCCTATGCGATTACGATGATTACAAACTCGAGATTTTTACCCGTGCGTAGCGTAGCAAATATTTTGTACGCGTGATCCATGCGTCCTCGTATATGATATGCGTCAAAACACATATCCTATCCCGTACGGAAAAATAATAAAAAAGTAAGAGATCGAGGAAGGCGAAAGGAAGAGAAAGAGAGAGAGAGAAAAAAATATTCACTCAAATCGTCACACGGATCGCGCGTCCGCGTGCATAGCTAAAAAGCGCAGCTCAGCTCAGCTAGCTCAGTGGTATAAGTACGTCTATGTGCGCGGAGCTCTCTCTCGGTACTGCGCAAGTTATTACCTCGCAAAAGGCGCACGCGAGTAGAAGAAGAAGAAGAAGAAGGCGGAAAGTCGTAAGATTCAGGACTGGCGAAAACACGTTTATATAACAAACAGCAGAATCGCAGCGTATAAGGAAGCTGCTGATGCTCGTGTGTGCATGTATATGAAAAAGGGTATAAGTTGCCGTGCGCGCGCGCGAAAACGGCCCTTGCGCGTACTGTACGTATAGTACATAAAGTTGCTTCTCTCTCGCGTGGCGCAGCAGCAGCTCTCGTGTCACGACGCGTCTAGAAAAGCTCTAAAACATCCCTCCCTCTCTGCGCGAGTGCACTCGTGAAAATCCTCCTCCTCCACCTCCTCCTCGTCCCTTCTATCCTCCCTCCACGCTCTTATACTCCTTGAAAAAGGGCCGGACGCGCTGCGCTCGCTCGCTCGCATTAAAGTAGTAGCTATCCGCGTCAGGCGCCAGAAAAGTCTTTCGCTCGACTCTCTCTCTCTTTCTCTCCCGAAAGAGAGTGAAAGAGAGAGAGAGAAAACTCAGTAAAATTTATCTCGTGCATTTTTACCCTAGCTCGCGCATTTTATCAATTTATTTTGCCGCGTTTTATCGGTTCGGGATGTTTCCCTTTTCTTTTTTCTTTTTTTTTTTACCCTGTGTACGCGGCGCACACGAGTTTTTCGCCGTAACGTTTCCGTATATATATACCATCACTGCTGCTGCTCGGGACTCACAAGTCAATGGACCCTCGTGATCACGCACCATTGCAAAACGAATGTAATCTCGGTCTATGCTTGCAGGTGACTATAGCTTACGCAGCCATGTAATACAATATATCGACGCTGCTTACGAAAACGAACACGTTTTAATCGTCTTTTAACAAGTTGCACATTTTGACAACTGATAATTTTGGTTGAAATTTAGCACTTTTTAAAATGAGCTTTGTTGTAATTTTTTGTAGTTACTGAGTTGCATTTAGTTTTAGTCAATAGAGATGGAATCACTTAATAATAAATATAATACGATGAAATTTTTCAACATTAATAATCGTGATCAGTTCTCAATCAGTTTAATTACGATAATACGATTTAAGCATCCACCGCTAGATGGCGAGGGTCTTTATCCGTGAATCTGCAAGTGGCAAAGTCAAAATAATTGTATAAAAGTCAAATTACGAATGAATTTAATTACTGCGGTATTGAACATGGTAAAACTTTTTGTTAGAGAACTAAAACGTGCTGATATTCGTAAATCGATACATAACATGTAAAAGGACAAGCCGAAACCGATTCAGCTGGTGTAAGCAATCGGTCGAAGAAAAAGGAGTCGACTTCTTAACCTCTGCCAGCCGTATCCTGCCATCGAGTGGAAAAAAGAGAGAGAGACAGAGAGGAAGAGAAACAGAGAGAGACAGCGCGAATATCCATCGTCAGCAACGCACAGCGGCGCCTTGGCGCAAGATTAGAGGCTGCCAAATGAATTAAAAGGGCAATTTTAATCAAAAGAAGCGCGCGCGCTCACGCATACTCGCACGTATATAATGCACACACGCTTGCACTCACTCACACACACACGCATACGCGAGCTTGGACTCGTTGCTTCCTTTTATTTTTTTTTATTCTTTTTGAAAAGCTTTTAGGCGCTATTATACTGGTATAATGATGCCACTCCTCTCCTGCACGCGCTCGCTCGCTCTCTCAAAGGAGCAGCCAGAGCCACATGCATGCATGGCTTCGCGCGCGACTCGTATATTACCCGACGTCGATTTTTGCGCTAATCGAATATTCCCTTGGCTGTCCGGCTGATCACGTATAAACGTGTGTCGGTGTGCGTATATAAGTATCAGTGTACACCGGCACACGCATACGGTCACGTATTTATATATATATCGACGAAGGTCTTGCGCCGCGCGAGCGTTAAAGGAATTTCGTTATGGTACGTCCGAGCCGATACACATGTGTGTGTGTGTGTGTGTGCAGTGGCTGACGCAGAGATCGTTAATACACAGGCGCGAGCGAGCGAACGCGTGCTGCAGCCGCCGCCGGTGAGAAAAAGTAATGATGCGCCGCGCGCGGGCCTCAGAAGCGACGTTCGTAGAAGAGAATGAGCGAGAGAAAAGAAAAGAGAGAATACAACGCATGGATGCAGAGAGAGAGAAGGAAGAAGAATAATATCGTTTAGTGCGGCAGCGTTGGATTATAAGTGGCCAATTTGGGGCCCGCTCCGAAAAGACGTCGTGTCCGTGCGTGGATCCATGCGCTCTCTCGCTCAGCTGATACACATACAGCGAGAAGCGCGTGTATACGCATATATATATTTCGACGCTGTATAGGCGATCGGATCACGTATATAATAGATATACAGGCCAGTCCAGTCAGTCAAAGGGTGACAAAATACCTGCGACTATTCGGCGCGATCAAAAAAAAAGAAAAAAAATATCCATCAACTTTTGTACATTATAACTCGTGCGTGATGAATGGATCTGTATTATATATTATATTATATGCGCGCGAACGAGTTATATGTGCATTTATATATATATATATATACGTGTATCGTGTGGCGCAGTTTAACGGTAACGCGTTTATAAAAGGCCGGGACTGCTGCTGCAGCATTACAACGACGTTAACGAGACTCGGGCTCTCGGACTCGAAGCGAGAAAAGATCACCGCGTGTGCGTGCGTGTCTACATATATATATATATAAATGTATTATAACGAAACATAATACCTCGCGCGTTCGAGCGAATCAAGCTTTGGCTTATATGAGAAGAACGAAAAAAAAAAAAAAAAAGGAGGCTGATCTCGTTAATGCGGCTGCACATATGTATACGGCCGCGCGCGCGTATAATATGTGTAACGCAATGCGCCCGACCGACCGAGTGAGAGTGACCCTATCATTAGCACCTATACACATTTATATGTGTGTGCCTGTATGTATGTGTGTGTGTGTGAATGTGTATTATACGCTCATTTCAGCTCAAGCGATCTCCGACTTGGATGGCTGCACCGCGCGCCGCGGTTTCGTTTGTAGGTATAAATAATACGACTCGTTTCTTTTCTCTATCTCTCTCTCGTGGCAATCAGAGCCCTACCCCGGTGTAAAATCTCTCGAGCGGCTGCCGCGCTCTTCGATCGTTGTATATAGACTCTTTTTCCCGTTTTCATCGTTTGCCAGCATTAATTGTAAAAAAAATCGTTGCACTCCAGTTTTTTATTTTGTACTCGACGAGAGGAAATCACGAGCGCAAAGTGACGCGCGGGCCTGCAATCAGTCCGAAAGGGTGTTAAAACGCGAGCGCAGCGCTCAACGTTCGCGGAGCTAATCACAGCGCACTGCGTATATAACACACACACCTCGACGCGTGAGATAATTAAATCGCTCGGCGATACTTGTATATATACGGAGCGTGTACCCACGGAGTGCAGGTGTCGACTCGATAATTGAAGTGGGAGGTGTAGTACCATAGGAGAAGCCAAGTGTATAGGCTACTTTGTTCCTGCACACATCCTATATAGGATAATTAAACTGCTCCTTGATCCGCGCGTGTTTCTTTTCTTAACACGCGACGACGAGAGATATCGACTCCCTCTCGTTGAGCTCCGAATGAAAAACTCGGGGCGTGCGCGGGCACTGCTCGCTGCGCGCGTTTATATTGCACATGCATGCATGGCGATCGGACGACGACGACGAGGACGACGATGACGATCCGCATTATATATCCCACTCTACTCGCTGCGGGAGATTCACTCTCTGTCTCTCTCGAGCTTGTGTTCCTTCGCTCTTGTGATATTGTATCAAGGGGCTATGCGGGGCTGAGAATTATTCGCGGAATCGAATTATTAATGTCTCTCCCGATACGAGACAGAAAGAGAGAGAGAACATCCCTTCGCCATGCAGAGAGTCTTTTGTTCCTTTGTCATCGATCGTTTGTTTATTTCGCCCATATACATACACGAGGCTACGGCCGATTCTCTCTTTTCTTTTTTTCCTCGTGTGCCCTTTCGAATCGTATACACTTGCGCACCAGCAGCGCTAAGCGGCAGCGCACGCGAGCGATGAAATTTTGTGTTAACGACGTATATATTATACATATTTCAAAGTTTGGCGGCTCTCGATTATAATATACGTATCGATAAATCATTTTTAAAATCCGCTAAAAGTCAGAAATGAATACGAGCCGCGCAAGAGAGCAAACGAGGGAGAGAAGAAAGAACGAGACGTGCTTAACGAGCCTCCTTTTGTGTGTCGTAAAAAAAACCCCCGCCCGTGTAAAAGCACACACACGCGCGCGTTACGGCTTCCGAATCCTTTGGGGCCTCGCGTGCGTGTGTGCAGGTGCACAAAAACTCACGATGGGGCATACATTACGTGTATACAGAAAACGACGCCTTTGCATACGCACGGACGTAATTTGCTTACGAGGCAAAATTCATTAATTAAAAAAAATGTGATCGTGTGAGATTCCTGGCTCGAGCTCGTCAAAGGTCTACAGCAGAAATCGATCTATTGACAATATATCACAGCACCAAGTCCGCGTATGTATAAGGCCATAAATTATTGGCCTCGTCCGCGCCGAGCGTGAAAAAGCCCCCCGAAAGATCGCTAATGTACGATGTATATACAAGGTGCGAGCATCGTCGCGGCTGTAACAGCTCGTTTGTATATATAAAAGCTCGCGACGAGCGTGTGTCAGTCTGCAGCGTCTCGAAAGAGTACGAAGGCGACGCGCTAACCTATGCATATTATATACGAAGATGTATACGAAATTCCGACGATATTTAGGCAAAGATAAGCGAAATTTTTGTTTTTTCCTTTTTTTTTTTCGCTTCCCTCGCCACCGCCACCGTGTAAACCGATTGCGCGCTCATCCGCGCGCGTAACTCACATTATTACGTATTATTATTATGCGCGCGATTTCCTAGAAAAGAAATCCGTAGACACGGCCGAATATTCATTAGTAGGTATGTGTGTCGGACGGCCGACGCGTGCGAGACGATAAACGTCAATGGCGTAGTTTATTGGTCGACGATGCGGATGCTCGAGATAATAAATGTGCGCTTTTTTTCTCTCTCTCGTTCCTACTCGAGTACGTCCGTGTTTAGTAGCCGCATGTATATTGTCGACTCGTGAGAGAGAGAGGCACTTTTAAATGTCGCGCGAGTTTTCAATTATGCCATTACCTCACGTACTCTAATGTACATCACGTTTAGGATATAAATAATGAAAGTAATAATTTTTGGTACTTACGATAGGGTGCATTGTGTTCGTTGCGGCCTGTGGATTTCACCGTGCGTCCGTACACGGTTACGTAGCCTCTGCTGCAAGTCGAGTAAAGACTCACGGAGGGCACCGTTGACGGCACCGCCCCGCACATCACCACCTATTTCGTGCATGACAAAAATGAACAAGTTATTAAAAACTAAGAAAACAAAAGTATAGATGAAGAAATCAAACGATTATCGTAAAAGCGAATACGACGATTTGATCGTGTGTGTATGTGCGTGTAAGAATATTTCAAACCAGGAAGTCTTGACTCGTATAAGAGTACTCGTTGTTTTTCTCCGGGCACAAAACGGATCGATGCGTAAAACGCTTTTATACGAACGGTGTATGTGTTCTTCACCCATATACGTGTGTGTACATATATATACGGACGCAGAAAGGAGCAGTTATAAGAAAGTTTACGTAAGCTTACGATGTGAACTTTTTTGTCGGACGAGGAAAAGGAGTTCGACGACCCACGCGGGGAGTCTTGCGCTCGCGCGCGCGACAGACACACAGGATTTTTGAGGGACGAACGAGAAAGGATAGTTTTTTTTTCCCCCGTGCTTTTCGGTGCCCAGGCCGGGGGAAAATTTCGAGGCGAACGATCGCTCGTATAAAAAAGTCGCGCGCCACGGCGATTTTTATGGCGCGGCAGTTTCTTCTTTTTTGTTTTATATCCATTTTTCTTGGCAAATCAGCTCGCACGGGGCGGGCAAACGCATCCACAGTGCATGAGAAAATAGTAATTGCTTCATCGGCTCGCTCGATCGCGGCGCGCGTTTGCGTATAATAATATAATGTAATAATATTATTATACGCGATCCGGCAAGCTGCATACTATCGCGCGACTGCCCCGCGCGCGCGAACAATATGAAATCTCCCGTCGCGTTTGCCGAAAAAATCATCATCCTCTCTCTCTCTCTCTACTATAATATGCTCGCTCTCTGCGGCAAATGCTGAGAGCAGAGCCAAGAGAACAGCGAGAAGCAACTCAATTATCAAGCTGTGAGCCAGAGCAAAAGAGATCGTATCGGCAAAAACTGCTGCTGCGGCCGCCACCGCCACCACTGCGCTGTATAATATACACATACGGCATATGTATAGATTCAAACTCGTGAGAAGATTCAATTAACGCATATCGACGGCAGCAGCAGCAGCAGCAGCAGCGTGGCACAAGCAACCGAGTCGTTGTAAAAAAAATTATTTCACTTTACACTTGCGTTCTGGCGATATACTTTACGAGCTGTGTGTCGTACTCGGACGCGAGATCTCTGCGGCAGGTGGAATTCATACGTATGCAGGTAGGGAGAACTGGGGAGACTGAATAATTTTCAGCGATATCTCCCGATAAGATCAATTTGTCACAATTAGTTTTTATTCGTTTGTCTCGCGGGTTTTTACTCGGTTTATATGGCATGGTATGTATCGCAAGGCGCTACACGGAGATTCGCTCGCAGATAACGGCGCTGCTGCAGCAGCACCACCACTACCAACAGCATATACACACAATGGCAGCGGCTATATAAAGATACATGCAAATTGATTTCTTTGATCGATCGTAATTGCCGAGTAAATAGCGACGAAATAAAACGAAAGAGAGGCACCTGACGTAGTAGTACTCTGGCCGAACGATGCGAAATAAAAATATCAATTTAAACACGCCGTAGCGTGACTCGCTAAACTATACACTCACGCTGCGCGTGCATAGACTCGAACGTACAAATGCGAATGCTCGAAGGGGGTATTTTTGAAAGTACACGCGAGTTACGGCCGAGATTTGTTGATTTAGTAATTGAACGATGATGTAGCAGTAGGACGCGGCTCTCTTCTGTGCGCGCAATTTATAATAAGGCACAAATTAAACCATTAGTCTATCTCTCTTGAGATAGAGAGATACCGAGAGAGAGAGAGAGAGAGAGAGAGAGAGAGAGAGAAAAGAGAAATGGACAGAAATTAAATACGCATGCTCGTTTTTGCCTAATGAATCATGCACTCGCGCGAGTTTTATGTATACAGCAGCAACATACGAGTACCTCCTACACGCACAGTAATATTAGGAGTCCGAATTTTTTGCTTCTTTCTCTCTTCGATTTATTTTGTCGAGTGTGCGCCAATTGACAAATCTCGTATCGTGTAACGGGACGAGCGAGAGAAAGTATACACGTCTATGAGCGCGAATACCGATCGAGGGAAAACTCGACGTGTCACCCTCGATTGATAAGCTGCGTGCAGCGTGTAAAGTGTTTGTCTATGTGGATGTGGGTGTACGTGATTCGATTGCTCTATTATGTACTCACCATCAGGAGGCACAAAATCTTCGCTAAGACGGCAAGCTGTGGTAACCTGAAAAACATGAAAACGCATTCCATTAATCATTTGAACAATATTTGGGAGAGAAGATTTTTAAAATTAATCTTATCAAAATTGAAATTTTTTTGCACGACGAGCGCACAGGTCGATCGAATTTATGAAAATGGTCAACTCCTTATAACGGGGCATCGAGCACCATTACAACGACTCTCGTCTCGCCTATCTCCCCTCGCGAAATTGGCGCCCAACGTGGGGCCCCAGTCTGACTTATATTGTGAACCAGAAATTTAGAGGCCACCGGTTATATTTATTACTGAGACAAACGCGATTGTGACTTGGTTCGGCGTTAAAATCCTCGATGACAAACTTATTTCGTGTTGTTTGATCGTAAGATGGAAACGATGGGAATCAATTGGAAGGATACGCGTTAAAATGTACTTCCTATATTTAAACTCCAATAAAATTTTTATCTCCGATTCAGCTTTTCAGCAGCCGCATGCCTCAAGGGCAAATCGACCTTATCGAATAAGCTCGTATTATATTTGCCGAGGTGTTCTCGGTACCCAGCATCGTCGCGCTGTACAGCAGTCCTCGTTTTTTTTTTTTTCATTTTCAAATTTATTGCCTCGACGACGTCGGGGCACGCGAGAATTTTCCATATTATTGTCGAGGCATTTCCAAGTTTTATGCAAATAACGCGAGAGAGAGAGAATTGAAAATTGAAACGCTCCCGTGCGTCTAGACGCATACGTAGACAGTCGCGAACACACGTACACACAGAAACATACGTGCATTATGACGCGAAATGTTGTGCGAGGCCAAGAGGTAGTAGCTGTGTGTGCTCGTCCTCGGGCCGAGAAGTAGCATCTCTACAGCACAAAATGATGATAAACTCGTGCATATTATATCGCGCTTGTTTATTGCATAAAAAACTGGTTATATTAACGGCAAAAGCCGGAGAGAGAGAGAGAGAGAAACGAATACCGCGTACTCTCTCGCCTGCTGTTGCTATGTATGTATATGTAATATATATCTCGTACTGTACGACGATCCACGCGCGAGCTCAAACGGGAGAATAAAATATAGCTAAATAATACACAAGCTATGAACAATAAGTTGCAATGTGCGTTATGATTTACGAGCTGCAGCGCAGCCGCAGCCGGAGCCGCCGATGATGCATTTCTGTCGCTGCACAGCACAACACACGGTGCACTGCACTGGATCGCCTTGCCGCCGCCGCTGCTCCTCCTTCGCGCGACTCTCCGCGCAAGTAGTAAAGGCGCTTTAACAATCGGACATGTACAGCGCACATAAGCAGCTGTTTTGCTCGCTGCGCGCGGCTGGCTTGGCTATAGAGTTTTGGCCGATTCTCCGCGTTTAATTTTATTTTTATTTATTTTTTGCTCGTTTTGCCATTGATAGAAATCGTAGATAATGTACTACCGCAGCACCGCTTCGCGTCGAATCCGACCGAACGACGGGTTTTCTCTCTGTCTTTCTCTCTTTGACTCGAGCTATATCGCGGCGACCACAGGCACGCGCGTGCGAACGAACGCAGCAGCTCGCTCGCGATTCGATACATTCCGGTCTGCGTGAGTTTTTTCGCTTATTCATCGTTTGTTTCGTATAAACATAGGAGCGCAAAATTACTCGCGATGCGCGATGTAGTTTTTTTTTTCCTCTCTCAGCTCCTTCCGAAGCCGCACACACTTCGTCTTTCGAAGTTTCGCGCTACGTGCTACAGTTTCTTTATACGCGTTCGCGGCGACGGCGGCAACTTCATCGCGCGAAGGCGTGTGCGTGTGTGTGCACATACTCTCGCGCGTACACTGGCACTTAGCGCATTCGTATAAACATTATGTAAAACCAGTTGGCCGAACGCGGAATTATTACTATATAAAACTTCTATGACTGCATTCTTAGAGTCTCGGGTAAATGTATATCGGCGGCGCTGCGGCGTTGTGTGCAGCAGCTTTTATATACGCGTGCACGAGCACCGCACGGTACACACAGCGTCTATGTGTCTTTCGGTCTTTCTCGATCGCGGATAACCGATCACCTCGTGCTGTTCTATCGATGTATATATGTCGCGGGCACGCACGCACGCACGCACACCTACCATAACGATCACATACATATGCCTCGCGCACTGCACCGTAGCAGTTTGCATAACTGCGATTGTGTCTCGCGCCGCACTGCACTGGTAACTACCATTAGGAGCTTTCTCCGTTCTCCGGCGATATTAATACGAAAATTTTTCCAAATTTTTCGTCGGCGAGAAACTTACCCTCGGAACGATACGATTTCCAGTATGCAAAACTTTCGACGAGATAACCACTGCATTCCAGATTCTGAACATAATTTTTGCTTTTATTCCCCCTTTTCGTCCCGACGAGCGTTGACGACGACGTGCAACACCACCACGGGTATGGGCGAATTTTTACACATGTATGATGTGTGCACCCACGGATAATTGGACGAGTAGCCAGTGTTGTGTGTGTGTGTGTGTGTGTGTGTACGCGCACGAGAGAGGAGAGTACTTAATGTCGATCAGCCTCTCACCTCGAACAAAACGACGAAAACGACGACATGTACCTCGCACCGCATCTCCTACATCCGATCGATTTTTTATTTTATTTTTCTATTTTTGTCTAAATTCGTTGAACTCGCGCAATTTTTTTAGAATTTTTCTTGCACTGATTAAAATTTTTTCTCCCTCTTCTTCGACTACTCATTAATACTTTTTTTTTCTCTGAAATTTCATTGACAATATGTGTCTGATGAGTGCACTGCACCACGATCACAGCACTGCAGCGGTAGAATAGCACTGATCACGGTCATCTCGGCCTCAAGATCGGCCGCTGCTGCTGCTGCTGCTGTTTTACGTGCAGCACAACGATCGATTGGCATAATTTCGCGTCGAGCACTGAATCGCAAAACGACCTGCACATAATACTTTCATGGACGATTTTTACGCAGAAAAACGCCGCAAAAATAATTGTACACCACTGAATTTTTTTTCTCTTCTACTTTTGTTTTTTTCAAGCACGTCGGGATACACACGCGCGACGATGCGCTCCTCCTTCGTGGTGCGCGCGCGCGAGCTGGCGCGAAAAATATATATACGTATCTCGAGGCTCGGGCAGTCAGAGACCGACTGACCGTAGCACCGCTGCTACTGCCGTCGACGCCGCTGCCGCCGCCGTCGCTGTTGCTGCTGCTGCTGCCGCTGCAGCTCTCGGCACTGCGCTACTAGTCGCCTTTTTTTCTTGTCCACCTTTTATTGCCTTATCCGAGGCGCGCGCGCGAGAGAGAGAAGAGTGCGAGGCAGCGAATTGCTGCCACCTAGCGGCGCTCGAGCGCGCGAAATATTGTGCATGTATGCAAGCCTCGCGATTATCGGAGCAGCAGCACGGTTCGCAGAGAGGACGCGATATCGAATCGCGCCCAATTGGGAATAAATTTCGATGTGTGAATCGAATGTCATGAGTATAAGCGAATAAAAAGTCTGCGAATTAAACGCGAGAAATCGGTTTGTGCCGATCGGCTAAATCACGAGAGATTTTGAAGAATTTGATCTTCGCAAATTATTTTATCATTCAAAGTTGAAGACCAAAAAATTTAGGCACATCTGCCAGATAATTTTTTTCCAACCCAACACACTGATAACACCACCATAATAATTTCTATAAAAATCGCGGGCTAAATTACGTACCGCATGTAGCTACGTGAGCATCTCTAGAGAGCTTCTCCGATCGCTGAACCGACGATGTTCGTAACACTTTTCGACACTGTTGCGCTTCATGAACAGATTTTTGATTTTTTTGATTTTTGGTTTCGGAGCACAGTTGCACTTATATTTATATGTATATCACATACAACACACTGCAATTATCGATGTATCCGAGAGCAGACACACGATCACTCGTTCACAGATGCGTATGCGAAAAATATGGCACATCCACACAGGTAGTAGAGAGTAAAATACTGATTCCGTTGAAATTGCGCTGCTGCTGCTGCTGCTGCATCCCGCGAGCACATCAGACGACGCACTAACAATTATTTACACACTGTCGATTGCACTATACAATAATTGTAACTATATATTCGTACGTTGGAATAAAAACTAATCAGTCGTCCGCGAGTACATGCGATTGCGCGCGTGCATAATAACGATACTGTATATATGTACTGCTCCGCGAGAGAGACGCGTGTGTTCGCTCCGCGACGGTTCGCGCAAGAATCCGGCGACTCTCGAGGAATATGTGCCGATCGTCCACCCGTGTGGCACCTTTCCCTTTTTCGAAACGGAGAGAGAGAGAGACGCGTGCCGCTGCCGCCGCCGCCGTTGCTGCCGCTGCTGCTAAACGTGTGTATGTCGCGGCAAAAGTAGTAGTAGTAATAGTAGTTGTAGCAGTGGTAGTAGTAGTAGTAGTGACACTCTCCGCCCCTGCGCGACTCGCTGCGCGCCTCCGTACACATTTATATACGTCCAATATGTAACATTGCTAATCGAGTCGGCAGCGATAGAGAGAGAGGGAGGGGGGGGGGATTAAAAAGTGGAGAGGAGGGAGGGGGAGAAGAGATCGACAACATTACATTATATACATATCTTTTATGTGTGTGAGAGATACAAGGCAGATCGTTTGTGCAATTTAAACGCCGTGCCGACCTCGACCTCGCCTCCCCCCTCCTCCACCTCCTCCTCCTTCATCTCTTCCTTGCCCTCCCTCTCCCCATACCCCGCCCCATGCGTGCCGCACGAGCAGCACGTTTTTGTTGCTGCTGTTGTTGTTGTTGTTGTGTTGCTGTTGGTGCTTTTTTAAACGACGATTATTACGTACGTAAACGATTACCAATTTATTCGACGCGTGCAGTGTAATATTATCAACGTACGACGACGGTCCTTTACTCCTTTTCCTTTTTCGGCTCGTATCATTATACTTCTGTCTTATTTTTCGGCCATATTCGATGATTCAACAAAGTGGCGCGCTCGCAAGTCCCGCGATCGCTTTTATCCCTCGTAAATTGGC